GGGGGGGTGACGTCCCCCGACTCCGGAGGAGGCCCCTCGCCCGGCCCGGGGAAGCCGCGACCGAGGAAGAGGAAGCGGCGGCGTCCCCGGGCGGCAGGAGGGGAGGCTCTGCGGCGGCGCTGCCGAAGCAGACCGGCTGTGGAGCAGCAAACGAGTCCCGCCGCGGCCCTTCGCTCGGGCCAGGCAGGCAGGCCGGCTCCGCTTGGGGGGCGGCCCCTCCCTTGGCGCTCACCTCCTCTCCCCAGGGGGGGCGCCGCAGCCGGCACACCGCTCGCCGGGCGCGCACCGCGCGGGGCCCGGGTTGGCTGCTCCCTCGCCTCGCCTCGCCTCGCCGGCCTGGCCTGGCCTCGGCCCGAGAGCCCTGGCTGGGATCCCGCCGGCGGCGTCCCAGTTGGCCCGGCCCTCGCTCGGCCGCCTCCTTTGTCTCCCCGCTCCCTCCCACCCCGCCAGCCCCAAACTCTCCGCCCGGGCATCTGCTGGCTTCGGAAAGCCTTCGCGGGGAGTCCGGCGGGTGGCCGCGGAAACAACCGCCCCCAAGCCCTTCCCCGGGTGAATCCCCCCCCCCACACGCTCCGGTCTCTCCATCTTCGCGGGGGTGGGGGTGTACACGCTAAAGGAATAAACTTAATAGCATCACTCTGGAATTAAAAATCAATGCTAATCAAGTCGGGAGTGGGAAATATCAGTTTTCATTGTGCCTGCCCTGGATGGTATCCCCCCCCCTTTTGAGAATGGGGGAGTGGGGGAAAAAACCCCAAGTCAAATAACTTTAAAAGGCCGTTCTGTTCTGCTACAAATACAATTGAAACGGATTGTTTAGGAGCGGATCAGAAACAGTACAGAATTTTGCACTTAATTTCCTCCGTTATCATTTACAATAAGAACCTCTTGCCTTGACAGCCAAGTCTAAACAGTAGTAAATTAGTACAAATTTATACTGATTTTACTCTAATAATCGTAATAAAAGCTTATAGATTTGGCACTAATTACATAAATGCCTAATGATCTTGAAAATTACTCTGGTTAGAAATATATTACTAATCTAAACTTTGTTGTTGGCTGGCTTTGAAAAATCAGAACATTAGAAATGGTTCGCTTCCTTTGTGCAAAGCACTTGAAATTGTTGGGATAGTTTAACGTATTCCAAGGGATCTTAAAAAAAATAACTTTATTTACTGACTTAAACGGAGTTAAGAAGCAAGCTGAACTTGGAAACTTTCTCTCACAAAGTGAATGGGGCGCCTGTAGGTCTTAACTCTGTTTCTTGAACCAGATTAATAGCTGAAATCATTTCTGCTTTATGCAAATATTTAATACAGAGATCACTGGAACAGGAGGGGAAAGAACCCAGATTAGTGTGTAAATTGCATTAAGGTCCGATCCCGCTTTATTCAGTGCTGTCTGACCCACCATTCCACAGAGCGACGGGAATCATGTTTATAGACACGACTGGAGTCCTTTAAATAAAGCCATCCAAAACAATTTACCCAAGCGCAAAATGCAGAGACACCCTTCTATAAGTGCGCAGAACCTAACTCTCCCTGCCCCACGCCAGTGGCAAAAGCCACAACGACATGAGCATGAAAAGTGAGTTCAGAAGGAAGTCCGTGCAAGTGTGTGTGTGTTGGGGGGGGGGCGAGAGAGCCATCCCACACACACAAGGTTAAGACCATTCACTTTCCCCCAATATTCCCCTTTTTATTGGTTTGGCTTTGTCAGTCATTTCCAACTAATTTGATCAGGAGGTCACTTTTGTTAAAAAAAAGAAATAGGAGGGGGGGAGGGACCGCTGTATGTGTGTGTGTGGGGGGGGGGGAAGGAAGGTTGTCTCTAATGCAATCAATCAGCTCGGGGGGAACCGAATTGTAAAAGGGGCTTTAAAAGCCCAGCCCTGCCCGCGCGGCGCTGGGCTGCTGCGGCGGCGGCTGGCGGTGCTGAGGCTGCGGGCGGGTGGAGCGGGGACTCTTTGGGTGCTGACATTTGCAGGCTGCCCTCCTGATTGGTCCCTTCGCTGAGCTGCTCACGGGTTCATTGAAGTGTTAAGCACCTCCCCGTCTCTCTAAAGGACATTATAATGCAAGAGACCCCCTTTTTAACCACACACCGAATTTTCTTTCATTTAGGCGATCTATATATATTATATCTATAAGCTTGAGAGAACTAGATCTATTTTAAATAACTTTTTTTGGGTGGGGGGAAGAACAACCGCTAAAATTTGGGGGGGAACAGCTTTCGCCCTGGAGCGGTGCGCGATGCTATCTCACGCCGACCTCCTGGACGCCCGGCTCGGTGAGTTGCCCCCCAAAGCCTCTTTTTCCCCCTCTGTCTCTCCCTCTCTCTGGCCCCCAGCAGCATCTGCGGCAAAGGAAGACGCCAAGGGCAGGAAATTGACAATTTGTGCCTGATTTCACCTTAATACGGTCTAAATGGGCTAATTTCTTTAAAAGTAATTGTACTGTATTAAAGTTTAATTTGATTTAACATCCTCTCTTTGGAAGGGGGAAAAAAACCCAACAACAACTCTGGACTATGCAGACCCCAAAGCGAATTTTAGGGTCGTTTCATTTCGGGTTTTGTCCCCTGGCTTTCCTGGCGGTCTTCCTCTGCCCGGGCGCGGGTTTCTGGCTTCCCCCGCCGAAGGAGGAGGGTGGGCGTGGGGCTCGGCCGGGCTCGGGGCAGGGGCAGCGGGGAGCGGAGGCGAGTGGAGGTTTGGGGCCGCAGGCGGCGGGGCGGATGCCTGTGGCCGTGGCCGGGCGGGGGGGGGGGCCCCTCTAGTTCCCGGGGCTC